TTAAAAACTGAGAACAAACTGAGGGTTGATGGGGGGTGGGAGGGAGTGGAGGGTGGGTGAGGGGTATTGAGGAGTGCACCAATTGGGATGAGCACTGGGTGTTGTATGGAAACCAATATGACAATAAATTTCATATTAAAAAAAAAGATTAAATGCAATGAAAGCTCTAAAATAAGACCCTCTCACTTATTCTATGACAAATTCATTTTAAATTGATTTGCATATTAATTAAAAAATCCATAAAGGCTGCATGCCTGAGATGATTTTTAATGATATCAGAATATTGTTTTTAACTGCTGACAATTTCATTTAAGCCATTATGTATATTCCTCACTGCAAATCAGGTAGATTCAGTCTTTGTAGAAAAACATCCTGGTTATGACAACTTTTGTTAGTTGAACATTAGCAATTAGTAGTGTTATTTACCTGTTGTCATGAAAAAGAGGAATGTGTAGCACAATCTCATCATGTATTACCTGAGATAATGATTAGCATTATATTAAAGTCTCCTGGTTTCAAATCCACATACATATACACACATCCTATTGTAGAAAACTCAAAATACAAAACTAGAAACTCAGTCACATTATAGAAGATTCCTTTTGTAGCAACTCTTCTAAATAGTGAGGGGATAAACATTATCAAAGAGATGCTGTAGCAGCACAAACAAAACTCACTGTTTCTCTAGAAAATTTAAAGCTCATGTTTTAGTCACAGCCAACTGAAGAGCAACGAGAATTGGTAATAATCTATTTCAATGTAAAGCAATGTAAACATTTTCAATCCAAATTAAATTTACGGATTTAACCCAATTTGTTTTGACCAGAGTCTACAAGTTGGTTTCACACTCACACTCTAAAGAGACCAACAAGGATAGAGTTGTGGCCACCCTTCTTTGTGATCCAGTATGCATTCTTTTGAATAAATAAGTCATGTATTTGTTACACTGGCAAAGCCTGAAAATTTCTTCAATGTAAATTGCCTTACAGCTCTCACCTCACTTACACTGATCACAACTGAAGTATAATTGGCTTTATAACTACCCAAAAGGGGAATGGATGACTGGCTCCTTGTACTCCCAGTGCTCTTCCTAGTTTACTTCCTCCTCACCCAATAAATCTGAGCTCAAAAAATGACCTTGGACACATGTTTCTTTTACTTGCCTGAGGATTAATATGCTGAGCAGGCTAATTTTTAATGTCTCTTTAAAACTAATTTTTTCCCAGAAGATTGTTAACAGTGATCATACTTTGAAGTTAACCCCCAAAAATAAAAACCTTAAAAATGAGGCCTGAAATGTAACTACTGCAGCACATGTATATATAAGTTGTTAGGAGCATACTGTTAAAGTAATTTCAGAAAGCAGGGCAGAGAGGTTACTTGTTTCTGCTGTTGAGCTTTCCTTAGTGCCTCAAGTCTCTTTTCTTTGAGGCGTTCCAATTCATCCTCATCCATCTGATCCAGTTTCTGAATTTCAGAATCCAAATGTTCTTCCACTAGTTTGGTAGTCTGAAGCAATTGATTCTCCAGGACTTTTGAAAACATGTCAACAGATGTATTAGCTTCCATTCTTCTAAATGGTACAGTTTAGTCTTGGTGCTAGGGAGAAAGTTTGCAAAGTTGTGAGAAAAAAAAAAAAAGAGAGAGACAAAGTTTCCTCTCCCATTTTCAAAACTTCTAGCAAGTGTAAAATTTGTAGTCTACAAAGTGTTCTGACAACACAGCATTTCATGTTACATTTCAACATTTTTACTTAAATGCTTTTAAATTGAATTTTCAATAGGTTATAGTCAAACCACTCAAAAATTACTTACAGCAAAATTTAGGTGCTTCTGATTTACATTGTTTCACTACAATAAAGCAAAGACAAGTCTTTAAGACCAGAGAGAAATGGGTAGTTGGGAGTTATACCTAGTGACATATATTGACAGGGGTTTTTTTTGTTGGTTTTTTTTTTATTTATTTATTTTTAAAAAATTTTTTTTTCAACGTTTATTTATTTTTGGGACAGAGAGAGACAGAGCATGAACGGGCGAGGGGCAGAGAGAGGGAGACACAGAATCGGAAACAGGCTCCAGGCTCTGAGCCATCAGCCCAGAGCCCGACGCGGGGCTCGAACTCACGGACCATGAGATCGTGACCTGGTTGAAGTCGGACGCTTAACCGACTGCGCCACCCAGGCGCCCCTGTTGGTTTTTTTTTTAAACCAGAAGAAAAGAGAAAGCAGAAATGACTGTGAATAACAGTAAAGTTTAACTGTACTAAGGTTTTACACTTACATATACAAAACAAACTTTGCTTCAATACAGAGTGGAGTTGAGCCAAAGATATAGAGAGCCAAAGGTCTCTACATAAATGATTTTTATTTAATCCCTGAGAAAGCACATTACAATTTATGTAAAGAACAGGGCCTGGTGTTCTCTCAACTTTAGTTTTCACTGCTATTCGCCTATAATCTAACAAACTCTATGAGGCTACAAAGATACTGGTGTTAATCTACTGACAGTGTTCTTAACTTTGACGTAAAACAGTATCACAACAAATATTAAAAATATTGATTTTCCCATCACTCCTTAATGTAAAATAGGAGTTTAAAAACAAAATCTAATCCAGATAGGAAAGGAAGCTCTATCTCAAGTACACATTTTACACAATGTAGTATTTTCTGCCAGCAACATCAGATGTAAATTTTAGGTGTATCCCTGGGTTATTACTACAGAAATATAATTTATAATTTGCCTATCAAAGCAGAAATATGTTGAATCCCAATTAACTACGACACAGTTGAAAATACTACTGAAGAACCTTAAAACATCTTAATAAACCATGAACTCACTGATCCCCTTACTTACATATACAGCCTAGCCCACACAAACCGTCTAAACTGCCGAAGTGGAAAGAAGTAATCTTCTTGCAAACTTCACTTTTGATTCATCTTTCTTCACAAGGAAAAGCAGTTGAAAAGCACACTTGATTTCATCCCAGAGTTAGCAGGGCTAACTGCTCAAAAAATGTGTTAATACTGAATGAATATGTGCCTAGTTTCTGGTCAAATTATCGTTAAGTTTCAAGTCTTTGAGTTTTAAAAACCAAACTGTAAGTTCCTCATAAATGCTATAATCTTTCAAGGAGCGGCATTTCACATATGGTAAAATAATTTCACACTTCCTACCTCCAAAGAAAAATGTCAGTAAGATTGTTTCCTTTAGGGTTGTGGCAGGATAAGAAGAAAATTGGTTATTAAGAGACTGACCTACATGTCAGAACCTGTTTTTATTAGAGGTATAGAAAATGCTTATTCCTAGAGTTTTATATGATGAATTCAGAATTTAATTCTGGAATAATTGGGAACAGAAGTGATTAATAAAAGCTGTTCAGGGGACAGGTGGCGGTGGTCACCGCATTTACAAAAGGGAAAGAAAGGAGGGGGTGTAGCGGTTCTGATAACTTTTCATTCTTCAAACCACAAACCTCTGACTCTTTTTCAGTTCATCGAGAATGGTGGGAAGGGGCTTGTCTGTCCTCAAATTACGTGTTTCTTTGACTCTCTTCCATGCACCCGCCAGAACAACCTTAAATGCTCCCCAGGCACCTTCCCAAAAGCATCCTCGCCACTCCCTGAGCCCCCAGGAACAGATGAAGGCCGAGTTCAGGTGGCCGCGAGTTCCACACCTCCCGGGGCGCATGCGCCAAAGCCGCCTCCACCTCACTGACACCGACATCTAGGCAGCGCCCATCCCCCGCCCTGGCCGGATGTACAGTGAAGTGTCCATCAGCACCGGGAGGCGGTGGCCGGCTTTTTCTCACAATCCGCTGCCTCACCTGAGCTCTCGGGGATACCTGAGAAGTGAGGAACCAGTCGCTCCAGAAAGGCAGTCCACTGTGCCTTCACCCTCACAGCAGCTGCCGGTAGCTGCGAACCGGCCGTCACTTCCGCCTCCCCTTTAGCTGCGGCCCTCCCGCGACACAACCTGCGACACTCAAGGAAGTTGGGCGGGGGAGGAGGGCGTGCGTGCGGTGAGCGCTTCTGCGCGTGCGCATCTCCCATTTCTCCACCCCCAGGTTTCCGATTACTAGCCTCCTTCGGAGTAAACGGCCCACGGAGGAGGGAGCAAAGTACGCTGGAAGTTGTAGTTTATAAGTGCTCAACCTCGCATTGTCGGACTTTCTTAGGCTCTGAGCCTTAGGACACGTAATGTTACATCAGAAACGAGACAGCTATGGTCTTGCTCCAGAGTGACACTCCAACTTCCCTTGCATTGTGTTTAATGAACACATTTTTTAAAAAAAGTTGAGGTATAACTCAAATTATTGTTGTACTACATGGTAACTAACTTGGATGTAAATTTAAAAAAAAAGTTGAGGTATAACTTACACAGCATGATTAGTTTTTACATAGATAACACCCATAATATCACCGTCCAGATCCAGGTATTGAACATGCTTACTACCCTAGTAGGTTCCTTTTACCTTCCCTAACACAAATTCTTAGAACTTGCTCTCGCTTTGAATGTAAAGATTAAGATTTATTTTGGGGAATGGGTGTGTCCTTATTTTATTGTAATTATTTTTTTAGTGACTCAACAGACTTCATAATTCAGGGATGTTACCGAAAGTTACAATTTGTCCTGGATTTATCATGCAGAGTGCCTGTCGTTTGTTCATCATGGTTCTTTACTGAACTTCGTGCGTCTGAGAATACAAAGATACAGAGGTGGACCGAAAGCCCAAGGTTTATTTCTGAAATGAGCTCCAACTATCCAAGTCCGCGTTCCCCCTTACAGATGGAGCTGACAAGGGGAATTTTCGGCCTCATTGTCTGTGTCAGGGTTCTAGAACCCCGCGGTTATCGCTGCGCGGAGGACGCTTGTGGAAAGGGGGCGCTCGGGCTCCCGCCTGAGGGGCGAGTGAACTGGAGACGCTCTACCCAAAGCGCAGCTCTCGATGAGCCGCGCCCTGCGTCCTCACGCCGAGGCGCTGGGCGATGCGCTTGCGCACACAGAGCTCACACCATATGTGCCCTGTCCCAGTACGCGGGTCTGTGGAGAGCCGGGTGCGAGAGGCGGCAGCGCGAGGGGAACGGAGCTGAACAGAGACCAAAGTCGGCTGGGGGACATTGGGTCTGTAAGAGACCGAATAGAGGGGCTGGGGCTACGAGCGCCGCTGACACACGATGGGGAAGAAGCAGAAAAACAAGAGCGAAGACAGGTAGCCAGTGACTGGGTCTGCACGGCGGCGTCCGGCGCAGCTCAGGGGTTCGCGCGGGTTCCGCCGGCGCGGGGTGGACCGGGGGCGAGGCTCGCGACCGGCACCGCGGGGCCCCGGGCCTGAGTCCAGAATGGGGCGGCGCGGGGCCAAGACCCCGGTTCCGGGCGGGCGCGGAGGGCCTCGGCGGCGTTCTTCCAGTCGATACTTGGTCCCGTGGCTACTTCTCTCCCGGCCTGGAAAGAGGGGTCTCTCGCCACAGGAGCAGGGCAGTGGTTTCGGGGTTCTCAGGGGTAGGGGCTCAGGACGCTTCTTTGGGCCGGCCACGGCCCGGCCATCGTGGCCAGGGCAAGAGAGTTGTTTTTGCGGCGCTACTGTTAGCGACGGTGAGGAAGAGTTCTTTCTGTGCCTTTGTACCTATGAATACTTGGAGAGTTCGAATATGTGCACCTAGACCTAGTTTTTTTGTTTTTTGTTTTTTGTTTTTTTTTTTTTAAACTCTGAGCCGCTCAGGTGCGTTGGAATTACCCGGAGGTGTTTAACAGGTAACTCCCTCTTAACCTTTATTGTATTTGGGGACAGGTCTCAATTATTTAAGGGCTGGTTGTCCAGATTCCGTGCTTTTCAAAGCTTTCCTTCTTCCGGCCTGTCTTTTGGTCATTTCTTTGCTCTCTAAGCACCTCCCCCTAAAAACTGGGGAGGAGACAAAACCAACCAACCCGGGTCTCTCCTTTTTAACCACTTAAAAGGTTTTTGGGGGGAGGGAGTGTAAGGATATATCATAAAGCTACCTACCCCGACATTTTTGCAACATTTCTGTGTGTCACATTCGATTGAATTCTTTCACTCTTCTCAAAGTTTACTCCCAGGGAGGGAAAAACATCTGTTATATTTCAGCTTTGTATTCTACTCCCCAAACTAGTTCAGAGATTAGGGGGAGAGTAAGGTAAAATTAAAACAAAAACCACGACAACCATCTGTAATAGTCATTTTGACTCAAAAATGGATATCAGGTCTTGAAGTTAAAATAAGGTTACTAATTATAATTTGGAATTCTGGGTTGTGTGCTCACCTGACAGTTACCTAGCAGTCACCTAGCTGATGAGTGGAATTGAAAGACATCAAGGTGAATCTTGGAATTGGAGGAAGTTAATTGGCTTGCAGACTAGAACTTGCTAATCAAACCAGGTAAATTAGAGAAAATAAGCAGAATTCTGGGTGATTTCGTGGGACAAAAATTTCTTTGCTTTTGGCCGGATGTTTTGACGCATAGGCTGCATTTTTTCTTCAACCGTGTGGAAGAAATAGATGAGTATAATAAAGCTTTGTGTACCAATTACCCATGGTTATTACATGACCATTTCTGTTTTATCCACCTGCTGGATATTTTAAAGCCATCTCAATCCTTTCATGTGTAAATCTTTCAAGTGTATCTGAAAGATAAATACTTGAGGGGAAAAAAACCCCAATTTTATCATCAAGTCTAAGGAATATTAAGGCTTTCTTAAGTATTATGGAGTATCCACTCAGCTGTCCACTGTCTTATTTAAAAAGTTTTTTTTTTTTTT